ATNAGCTGCTTTCACCAAAACCTCCATTATAGAAGATAACTGGGTTTGAAAGGGAATGCACGTCGCCATGCTGATTCATGTAAGGTAATATATAAGGGTAAAATATAAGAAATACGTATTTAAACGCAATGGTTTTTATAAAAAAATGCGAAAAACAACCGACGCACTAAGATGTTACATCCCTCTGTTTTAGCTAGCTGGAGCTTTGCTTCCGTGTGGCTGAACCTCTACCGTAAAATCCCGAGGAGAGGCGCGGAGGGATACCAAACAAAAAGGAAGTGTAGAACCAGAGGTGGAGAAGTACTCAGATAGTGTACTTGAGTAAAAGTAGAAGTACCAGAGTGTCGGAATACTCTGTTACAGTAAAAGTCCTGCATTCAAAATGTTACTCAAGTAAAAGGAGAAAAGTATGAGCATCAAAATAAACTTACTAAAGTAAAAGTAGTCATTCTGCAGATTGGTCCTGGTTATAATTATTGATGCATCAAAGCTGGTAAAGGTGCAGCTAGCTTTAATGACTTTGTGTAGGCTACTGCATGGTAGCTTGTGAATTTACTCCAGGTGGAACTAAAGTCTGATTTAAGAGTTGACTAATTTCACATCATCACAAGTAAATAAAGGTACACAATAAGTGTAGTGGAGTAAAAGTACAATATTTACCTCTGAATTGTAGAGGAGCAGGTGGTACTAAATAGCATAACATTGAAATACTCAAGTAAAGTATTGTGTAGTATTGTACTTAAGTACAGTATTTGAGTAAATGTACTTAGTTACTTGCCACCTCTGGTTTACACATACAGTACGAGGAATTTGCCTTGGTGTACATGGTGCATACATAAACACAGGTAAAGAAACAATAACAAACTATATATTTTTTTTATACATTAAGATATAGAAAATTACTTAAAGGAAATCTGGATACAACCAAAAAACTTTGCAAAGTTCTCAGAATATATAAAAGGAAATATGTGCAGTATTGTTATCGAAAGTGGAAAGTAGATACTAAGAGAGGTAGCTTTACAAATGTGCAAAATATTCAAAGGGGTTGTGTAGAACTGGCAATCCTTAAATTAGATAAATAAGAACAAGATATTGTTTACAAAGTGTGCATTCAACAATATCTTGTTCTTATTTATCTAATTTAAGGATTGCCAGTTCTACACAACCCCTTTGAATATTTTGCACATTTGTAAAGCTNAGTGAACGTCAAACAAAACTGGTGGCGTTAACCATCAGATTTTTGGTTGGCGACAAACGGGCCAGTAGCAGGCTACGATGACGTTAGGACGGCACTGCTTTTGAGGATACCACGTATTGATAGCCATGAGCTATGTAGAGCTAGTCAAACTGAACTTGTAATTTGAACGAGGGTTAAGTTTTGTAGATTTCTACAAGCTGTTTTTTTTCAAACCCACAATGGCGAAGGAGAAAGAGACGATTTGGTCGCAGATATAATTACAACGCCATTCAAGACGAACTTTTCAAGAAAGCTAGACATCGTCTGAAAGAGAACGGCAACCCGACGCTAGCGGATCTATCACAGCGGGGGAAAGGGTTTGTCGCCACTTTCAAAATCACTAACTACGAGCGGTACCCCTGCTCACCAGCCTCCGAGAGGCACTGCAAATTGTACTGCTGGGAATGCCTACTATTTGCCAACTGACGATTTGTGTTTGGAGCCACCATGGATTTGCAAACTTGAGTCTGTCTAACCCAAGCAGCAACGAGACACCAAAGGCACGGTTGGCACTTACAGAGCAATGGGCTTTTGAAAACCTTGGGGACACCCGAGTGGATCTACAGCTCAACGACGCAAGTGCGCCGGAAACGGAGCTCCACAACCGGAAAAAATTCCCGCATACAGCCTAGCCCAAATTAAACACAGAGTCACGGAACACTGTCGATCTGTCCCGGCTAAAAACAGAACTGGACTGTAATGTTAGCTTATGGACTGATTTTGAAGGGGAAAAGTCCCACTGATCTCCTTGATTTCCTTAAGCAGAAAAATCTGAGTGAGGCATGTGGCGGCTTACACATTGGCATGTGTGGCAGTGACTATCCCTGTGTCCATGCTTCGTCGAGCGGTCATCTCGTCCTAAGCGAATTAAAACTTTATGGCCAGAAAGTTCTACTGACAGACTAGGCTTTCATCATTAGCCTTCATGTCTATAGAAAATACTTATTGGTGGAACGAACGCACAGATTAAACTGTTACCAACAGAGTCATGAATCTTCTCCGAGGAAAAAAGGAGATGGATTTTGTGTTCAAATTAATCAGTTGTTTGGTGAGTACAAAAGCATTTTATTTTTTATTTTATTTTTATAATATTTTTGTTAATATTAATCAATATAACGAATTAATAATTATGTAATCTAAATGACAAAATATAAAGAAATAAATGTTTGATGCTTCTGCCAGAGATATGAGATGGTGTGCGCGGCACTGGCTCAGCTGCTGCGAGTTAAAAGTACTCAAGGAGACTTGTGGAATTGTTTTGGTTTGTAACCTTTATCAAGTGGTACATTCAGAGCTTAGGAATACACTTTCACCACTGTCGCAAATATATCCTCAATGAACAAATGCAATTATTGTTTGTTTTTTTTCAGTGATGTTGTGTCTTGATCGCACGTTTCTTAAATGAAACTGCTTTTGGTGCGACAATGCGCTGTTTAGTGAACAAACTTGGTTTGGTGGAATTAATAAAACTTTTTGGCTAAGCCTTAAAAGCCCCTTTTATTTTAAGTTTTGACCGTACCAACAGGATCTTTAAAGCTGGTAGTTTTAACACTCTTTAATTGTAAATGCGGATATATTGATATAAAAGCTTCGGAAATATTAATATAACTCTGTTGTACTTGACTTATTGTTAAGGTGATGCAACGGGCCCGGTTATTACTGCGTTCTGTCTACAATGTATTAGTTTCTAGAGCCATGGCGTCATAATGATGGTATTAAGCGGGGGGATATTTCAGGTAGACTGTGTTAGGACATCACTGAGGCCTAGGTGTGAAATGCACGGCCCGACTGTATATCATCATAACATAAACCATTCCGAGAGTAAATACTTGGACTATTGGAAATAAAGTTTTGCTAGTATTCAACTTAGTTTTGGCAATATTATTCCGTGCATGTGTTTAAAAATCCTATTTCCTTTTGATCATTGGATTACTCGCGGAATGTTTAGCACGTAAATGCTTTCGTTTTTAAAACCCTGTCCGACCTCGAATTACAAAACCATCAACCATTTGCATAGGATTAAAAAAATGTTCAGAGCGAGCGTCGCGATCACCCCGTCTTAAAGCTTCCCAAAAAGTGCTCTCTCTTTCATTGTGCTGGATTGAAGTCACTTCGACGAGTAACCTAATAGTCCTCAAAAACAGCGGCAGTAGGCATTTCTTTTTTACTAGTTGGGTCCGAGTTTCGGTGCCGGCAAAGCCTGCCGCCATCGTTGCTCAGCTCAGCTCTGTGCCAGCTCTGAGAGCGGGAAGACGGTGCTGCCCTCTGCTGGCGCGGTGCTGTGCATTACAACCAAATGTCGTCCCGGTTCAAATACTAACGTGTCAGTGTTATAGAATGAAACGCATCTGTGATTGCGCACAGTCGAGGACTTCACGGTTATTTGAAAAGCATACCGACGGATTTCGAATACCCTGGTATACCGTAATACCGTTCATACCGCCAATCCTTATATCAAGCCTAATTTTACCATATATTTTGCATAACTTATACTTTAACTGATCAGGCGATATACCTCAACCTTTATGAGTGGCCCAGCCCTTTGTAATTTTGTCTGTATGTGGCCCCCTGTGGAGAAAAGTTTGCGACACCTGCTCAGTGGCGGGCCAGGCAAGAGGCTCGTGAAGGATTTCTGAGTGGGGGTGGCTGATGGTGCTGGACTCCAGGAGCACTATTACGGGCACTGTAGAGCACGCACAAAAGGCGCGAGCACCCAGGGGCGCTACAGGGAATGTTCTACTGTCGTCGTGCAACACTTCCCCACACACCAACACACAGTACACACCGCTATGTTACAATGAAGGCTCGATAATCAGCTCACGGCATATAGGCAGGGTAAGTGCTATTTTTCACGAGTGGGGAGCGGACCTCATCTCCTCTAGGGAGTCCGGGGGGGTTGCTCCCCGGAAATTTTTTTTTAAATATTTGAAGTTAAAAGCATCAATCTTGGTGCACTTTGAGAGCATAATGAAGAATCTATGGAATACGATCTCTCAAACCACCCATATGAACAGAACTGTAAGCAGTTGTCTTTTTCTTTTATGGGATATTTTACAAATCATTCCCCTTCAAACTGTATCTTGTTTTACTGCCATATAGTATTTCATAACTGTTTTTCCTTTTATTCTCTTGTTATTTTTATAACGATAATGTCATATGAAGTTGTCCGCGGAAATATCTTTAGAATAATTTGTGACCAAATCGTTGAGACCACTGAGATAACTTAGACTTAAGTTAACTATCTAAACCCTCAGAAGTCTTTAGCCTCACCTGAGCCTCTCAGTCTGAGAGGGAGGACTCTCCTCCAGGCATTGTTGTTGGAACAACATCTCCTTATGTTCCGTTAGGCAGCTAAGCTAAACCAGATGCTAAACAACACGGCCCTTGCTGGCCACCGGTCCCTCTCTTCCTCTCTCTCACAACACACTAAATGCGCTATTCCACAACACACACAGACTGCAGCTGAACGACCACAAGCACACTTTTATGCATGCAACTCCTGATTGGTCTGGTGTCTTTGCCTCTGTTGGCATTCACTGAACACAGGGAAAATTACAGTCCTGCCGTCCTCTCTAGTGTCATGATGAGGTTCACGTAAAGCACAATTAATGTATTATATTATTGAGGTAGAATTGAGCGTATTTTGAGGTAAAGAAAAGCGATTGGCCTTCACTACATTGCTGTGTGCCCCTTTGTACAAATGTGTCCCGTTATCAGAATCAGAATACCTTTATTAGTCCCACAGAGGGGAAATTTGCAGCGTTACAGCAGGAAAGAGCCACAGACAGCTTAGTGTTGCATATCTTACATGCGTTAAAAAAGTACTAAGTTATAATATAATAAACAATATGCTAACAAAGTACTAAGTTATAATATAATAAGCAATATGCTAAAAAAGTACTAAGTTATAATATAATAAACAATATGCTAAAAAAAAGATAAAAAGTTACATCATTTTCCAAAATACAGATAAAAAACCAATCAAATCTACAAATCAAATCCTGTAGCAGTTCTTAGGATTTAGCAGCCCGGTATGTATTACAGTTATTAAAGATGGCATATGTATATAAAGTACATAAAGCACATAGTTTGACGGTATTTAACAGCAGCAAGTTACACAATGTTATAATCGGGAGATAAGTTTCCATTCATTTCGGCAAGCCTGGGCAGCAACGATTAAAAGATTTCTTGCTCCCAAACCAATTGTGTATTTCATTACAAAAAGCAGTTCTACCCAGGGGTGCACACAACTTTCTCAGTGAGGGACTCAGATGAGTACCTGGAGTGGAGTGCAGAGCTAATGTATTTATCATTTTACACGAGAGGGTTACAAAACGAAAATAAATCTGTAGCCCCTTCATGCTACACACACATAGCTAGCTACCAGTTGATGTGAGCAAATTTATTATTTTCCTCCCTACTCTGAGATCGTGAGGCTTTTCATGCTTTCTCATGGACCTGTAACAGCTAGCCCTGATGCTCACTCTCCCTGAAGGTAGATCTTTGTTTGAAACTGTGGGGAATTGGTTATCATTCATGTTATCCAAAACACGTAATAGTACATCATTAAAACGCTTTACACTGTATCAAGACTGTCAATTTGTCAAACTTAGCCAGTAACTACAGCTTTGTTTGTCACTTACCTTCATAATTGTCGACGTAACTGGATATGTAGCTACATCTTGAACCCCTTTTCTCTTTTGCTCCTCGCGGCTGAGCCTGCCGCTTGTACCAGCCAATGTACATCACTGATGTTAACCTTCGGTAGATCTTGGAGACATAGTGTAAAATATTGCCTATATAATATCTATACGCTATCTATTGCTATCTATACGCTATCTATCGCTCTTCCCTCTACCGCTCTACCGTAGACCGGAAGTTTACAACCGCACACTCAATGAACCGGAAGTTGATAGACGCCATCTTGTGCAACTAGCCTATAGCAGCTTTTTTTTAATATATGCTTTCAAAGAGAACAAACCAGATAATTCAGAATGCAACTTCAAATGTATCTCACTTGTGCAAATGCAGTTTCCTTGAAGTTAAAATAAAAAGCTGACATCAGTCTGACTGATAAAATACACTTTAATTAACACACACACAACATTGCAGAAAGTAAAAAAGGCACTAAATGGAATACGTTCGTGTCAGTGACGGCTGTCCTCAACAGATCTTAGAGCCATTCACAGTTTCATTTTTTAATAAGTGACATTTTATTCTATTCATCTGTATCAGACATTGTAAAAATCATCAGTTAATCATTGCTCTTGGATTATTAATGCTGAACCCTAGAGCTTTTTGACCGCGACAAAGCAGTGCGTTATAATATGAAATAAAAGCAAATGTGTTCAGTTCAAATTATGTTGTTATTACAAAATGTATTTATGAATACATTGAGCTATGAAGTTTTAAATGTCCTGAAGACTCTCAGCCTTTCATAACGCACAGTTTGAGATTTGAAGATGAAAGAATTTAACTTTTCATTCAAAGCATGTTACCGTATACCAAGTCTATATGTCAATCTAAACCAACACCATTCACCAAAAAAGATTAAATAGTACACAAAGGCAATCAAAAGTATGGAGACGAAACAAGACATACATCAGAACAACCCTTGCAGGATGTTCAGGTGTTAAACAATATCTTTACACTCCGTGTTTTAATGTTATTTGTGTTTCTAAATGCACTCAAAATGCAGAAATAAACAAAAATAAATACAAAAGAATGCAGAGCCCCAATCAATTTGTCTGTTTTCTGGTTTGCAGTTCTTTCTTTTTTTAAACAGTGTTTGTGAGGTGGAAATCATCAGTGTTGCTTTCAGAGCAGTCTCTTAGATACACAAGTGGGTTTTGGTTTTCTTCCCAGGAGCCCTCAAGATACATTTTTGTATCTTATTTTTTTTATAACAAAAAATAAATTATACCTGATACAATTAAAATGATGCAGGCAATACAACAAACACAACAAATTATAAGGGATTTATAGGTGTTGCAACAGTCTGATTCTGTGTTTACCGGTCTGGGTGCACGGCTGGCTACACGGTCCTCATACTCGCCCAAATTCAGTGCAACATGACCCTGGTTTTGGACATTTCTAGGAACATTGTGCTCTCTCTTATTACTAGGATTTCTTCTGTTTTCAGGGTGGTTTTTTTGTTGCTTAGAGGAGTGCTTTTCCTGGATCACAATATACAGNGGACACATTTGTACAAAGGGGCACACAGCAATGTAGTGAAGGCCAATCGCTTTTCTTTACCTCAAAATCCGCTCATTCTTGCTCTCGGTGTGTCATAACAAACTGTCAAGCTGTCAAAACTCTGTACTCAAACCGGAAGTACTCGGCCTCACACCCAGCCGCCGGAAGTTGATAGACGCCATTGTGTGTTTCGCAACATGTTCTATGGCACGTCTCTACTGGGAATTGTAGTTTTATAAGACATTTTTGTATTTACCACAATTAGAAGTTACCAGTATTAAACTGTGTACACCCTGGAGGTTTAGGGGATACGAAAAACACAGTGGTGTTATCACATTTAAAACATATAATTAATAAATGGGTGAACATTGCTTGTGTCCATAATGGGCAGCATTAATATACCCACATGACAGTTAAGGTCAAAAGAGCTTTATTTAACAGCTGGTCTTATGTCTGTGACCCCTCTGGCTGTTCATTGATAAGCCTGAAACATGCACTTGTCAAGGTTCAGAGGCAAATTTGGCAAATATAGCAGTAGCCATCGATCATCTTAAGATAAGATATACTTTATTGATCCCAAGTTGGGAAATGTTTTTGTTACAGCAGCATGTACTACTTTGTTCTACTCCACTACAATTCAGAGGTTAAGCTGGTATTTTTACTCCGCTACATTTATTTTAGTTACTTTGCAGATTCTGATTAATGATGTGAAAATATAAACAACCCTTAATTCAGACTTAAGTTACACCTGAGTCAAATTTAGGGAAGGTGATCGTACTTTGTCAGACTTAATATTTATCTGTGGGCATCCCCAACCTTTTTTTCTTATTCAAAAGAAGACCTTAACTTAAAGTATTCTTTAATGTTTAACCCTTTGGAGTCCTGGGCTGATTTGGCCGTTTTTGCATACTTTTGATTTGTCTTACTAAACCCCATTAAGAAATGCAAATCAGCCCAGGACTCCAAAGGGTTAAACATTAAAGAATACTTTAAGTNATTTTAAATTCAATTATTGGTTAAGAATAAACATCTTAAAGTAAATAACAATAAACAATAGCCCTTAACCCTGTAAGACCCCCGGTTGTAATTTTACAACATTACTTTAAGCTATCCAAAAAAGTCAGTAAATGTTTTTGTTTTTTTAAAAGACTACATTTACATAGTCAAAAGGTCCTTTTTGTTCAGCCTCACAATGGTATTGGGTAGTAAATGTGTTTGTAGGTCCTGACCTCTGGCCATACATATAAGACTAACATTCCTGACAATAGATCTCAAAGGTAATCTTTTATGTTGTAAATGCCTTTTTAATAATACATTTTTTGAATGGAACATTCTCAACACGAATGCATCAATCCAAATAAATATAACTTAAATATGTGGGAAAATACTG